TTTGTTGGAACCAGGGATTGAACTCAGACCCTTGTGCTTGCCAGGGAAGCGCATATTCCACTGAGCCATCTCCCTGGCCCCAATATATTGATTAAAGACTTATCATGTACTTAAATACTATCCTAGGGGTTATGTTGGTTATATACTCCCATTGGTAAGGTAGGTATTGTCATCGTCCCATTTTTATGGGGTACTGGAGATTGAACTCAGGTCCTTCAGCACAGTTCAAATTTCCAGTCCTCCTGCCCCAGCCTTTGCAGTGGCTGAGATTACAAGCAGCTGCCAACATGCCTGGCTCAGCCAGGCCTAGTTCTAACGCTCCAAGATTTATCATGCGGCACCAAGATAGGCACCTGCAGGCCTCCAGTAGCCACCTGATCTTAGCGAGTTCCTGACCCTCTCTGCACCTAGATTTCCTGGTCTGTAGAAGGAGGATGACAATGTCATTTTGCTCCAGTGCTGGGCTGAGGGACAGCTTTGTCTGCATGATATAAAGCCCTTCCCTACAGAGGCAGCTGGCAGGGAGCAGGCATTCAGGAAGTGTTCCCAGGTAGAATTTCCATTACTGATGGAGGAAACTGAGGCATGGGAGAAGTGATATAAGGTTTCCAGTTAGGTAATGATCTGGTTGAGAGAGTCTTCTGGGACCTGCGGTGTTCCTGCATCTTGATCTGATAACACCAGGGTATGTGTGTAAAAATGTGATTTGCACACTTTGCGGTCATCACTTAGGATCCCTGGTTCCTAGCCTCCCACCCCGGCACACACCAGCACCTGCAGATAATCAGTGTTCTAGAGACAGAACATGCATTCTACATGCATCGTCCCCTGTGCGTCATACCATCTCTAGGGGACTTACAATACTGAGCCCAAGGGAAATGTTATGTAAATAGTTGGTATTCTGTATTGTTTAGGGAATATGCCAAGGAAAAGAACAAGATGTGCATAATCAGACCATGTGCTTCCCATAGTTTCTATCGCTAGGGGTTGGAGCCGCCCACACACAACCCACAGCTACGGGTGAGCTAAGTACCAAGTTGCTAAGGAGCCCTCTCCTTGGGTCGTATCCCAGTCACTGGCTCCTGTCTGATATCTCCAAACAATTGGAGTCAGCCTCCTGGGTTCAAATCCTGTTCCCCTTTTGCTGGCTCTTTGTACTTTGTACTTGCCCTCTGTCAGTGCCTGTTTTCCCACAGGGGCAGGAGCGAGTGATGGGGGAATACTTGCATAGTACCTGCCACGTGTGAGGGCATGCATTTGTTAGAGCTCCAAGGGCCGTGCCGGTGGCAGAGGCTCACGCAGCCAGGCGGGGTCTGTAATCGCCCATCTCTTCCGGACCCTCCCTCCGCAGGGTCTTCGGCGAGAGATCCAGGCTCACGGGCCGCGCCTGGAGGAGGTGCTGGAGCGCGCGAGCGCACTGGCGTCCCTGCGCAGCCCCGAGGCGGAGGCCGTGCGCCGCGGCCTGGAGCAGCTGCAGAGCTCCTGGGCCGGACTGCGGGAGGCGGCGGAGCGGCGGCAGCAGTCGCTGGACGCCGCCTTCCAGGTGGAGCAGTACTACTTCGACGTGGCTGAGGTGGAGGCATGGCTGGGCGAGCAGGAGCTGCTCATGATGAGTGAGGACAAGGGCAAGGTGCGCCCGGGCTGGGGGTGCGGGGATCCTGGGAGCGCTGGAGTCGGGGCCCGGCCGCTGCCGCCTCATCGCGGGCGCCCTGTGCCCCCAGGATGAACAGAGCACTCTGCAGCTGCTCAAGAAGCACCTGCAGCTGGAGCAGGGCGTAGAGAACTACGAGGAGAGCATCGCGCAACTGTCGCGCCAGTGCCGGGCGCTGCTGGAGATGGGGCACCCGGACAGGTGGGCGGGGCCAGATGGGCGGGCCAGTTTCTGGAGAAGGGTCTGGCGGGATCGGGAGCTCTGCTCTTGGAACTGGGGCATTGTTAGGGAATTGAACTTTAAGGTGGGAGGGATACTCAGTGCTGCGTACTGGAGCGGAATGAAGATGCCTAGAGCAATGGGATTCTGAGAGTACGCAAAGCAAGAGCCGTGGCCGAGTGGGGCCAGAAGCGGGACAGATCGACTGAGCCCCGAAGGCGAGAGCCCTGCATCCCCACCCAGGTCTCTAGATGGAAAGGGCGAGGGATGAAAGCTAGAAACAGGGTGGGAAACAAAAGCAGCAGAAGAGAACTGGTGAGTGAGCCTTGGGGGGAGCATATGGACGCAGAGCTTCCTCCTGGGTGCTGAGATCCAAGTACCTAGCTGACTGAGCCCAAGACATACAGGAAACAGTCCTGCCTGAGGGGACATGGCCTCACCCAGAGATTCAGGGCAAACAGGGTCCTGCCTTCAGTGGGTAGGATTGGGGACCGCAGCAAAGCCCCAGAAGTCTCAGGGGCTCTCCCTGCTCCTCCTGTCCCCATCAGTGAGCAGATCAGCCGGCGGCAGTCGCAGGTGGACCGTCTGTACGTGGCGCTCAAGGAGCTGGGTGAGGAGCGCAGGGTGGGCCTGGAACAGCAGTACTGGCTGTACCAGCTCAGCCGCCAGGTGGATGAGCTGGAGCACTGGATTGCGGAGAAGGAGGTGGTGGCCGGCTCGCCTGAGCTGGGCCAGGACTTTGAACACGTCTCGGTGAGCACTGTTTTTAGAAATCACAGTGATAGATACCCATAGGCCAAGGTTCCCTGGGCCTCAGTTTCCACATCTGTAGAATAGGGATAATGGTATCATTTGACTCTAGTATGAGACAAACTAATATAACCTAAAGCAGTTGGAGGGTTGGGGATATAGCTCAGCAGCATAGTGCCTGCCTGGCAAGCACAAGGTCCTGAGTTTGATTTCCTGTACCAAAAACAGATAAAGCCATGGGTATTATAGGCACAGCACAGTGTTAATTATAGATACTGTATCATAGTATTTTATTGCTAGAATAAATGCTCATTGTTAGATGCTGTGTTATTTTTTACAGTATGATGCTTACTATTATGATAATTCATATTTGCTACCAGGGAGCAGGTTGGGGGGCATGTAGGCAGCACCTTTGCCCACCTTTGCCCCCCCCCCCAATCCTGGTGGCAGGTATTGCAGGAGAAATTTTCAGAGTTCGCCAGTGAGACAGGCACGGCAGGGCGCGAGCGGCTGGCGGCCGTGAACCAGATGGTGGATGAGCTGATCGAGTGTGGCCACACGGCAGCAGCCACCATGGCCGAGTGGAAGGATGGGCTGAACGAGGCATGGGCCGAGCTGCTGGAGCTGATGGGCACACGGGCCCAGCTGCTGGCCGCCTCCCGGGAGCTGCATAAATTCTTCAGCGATGCCCGGGAGCTCCAAGGACAGATTGAGGAGAAGCGGAGGAGGCTGCCCCGCCTGACCGCTCCACCTGAGCCGAGACCCAGTGCCAGCTCCATGCAGCGTACCCTGAGAGCCTTTGAGCATGATCTGCAGCTCCTCGTGTCCCAGGTGGGGCACCGGCAGCCAGAGGGCCGGATGGGAGGGCCTGGGCTTCGGAGCAGTCAGAAAGCAGCTTGTGAAGCAGGTTGAAATTAGGCCATGGGACAGACAAAAGCAGCCTGTTGGCAGGCAGAAATTGGGTAATAGGGCAGATGGAAAATGGGCTGATGGCTTGATGAGCAGAAGTCCAACAGCACGACATCAGCACACTAGGCCTGATAGCAGTATGTGAAGTTTCTGATAGAGACTGGGCTGTGGTTCCAAATGGATGCAACACTCCAGCACGGTCAATCCTGATAGAGGCTCTAAGTGGAAATGAAAGGGGCTCAGAGAAATTTGGTTGTGAGGTAGACAAAAACAAGGCAGCAGGGCTCTGATAGAAGTCATAGAAATTTGATGGAGATAGATTGACTGGAAAATGCCAGAGTCGACAGAAATTAGGCAGAGGGTCTGTCAGGAATTGGGAGATTAAAAAAAAAAAAGGAATTTGGAGATAGAGCTGAGAAATTGGGTGGAAAGGAAGCTGTGAGCCTAACAGAATTCAAGCAGCAGGGGCTGGGGCGATAGCTCAGCAGTCTAAGTGCCTGCCTGGCAAGCGCAAGGACTGGGGTTCGGTCCCCAGTACCTCATGCCGTGCCGACCACCAAAACCAGGCATGGTGACACACAAAACCTGTAATCCCAGCACTGGGAGGCTGAGCCAGGAGGATCACTATAGGTCTGAGCTGCATAGCGAGACAGTGTCCCAAGTAAATAAATAAAAGAAAAAAGAATTAAAGTAGGATGGAGGGCAACTGGGTTATAGGAGCAAAGG